GTGGGCTATTTCTTCTTCCCCATGTAGCCTACTCCTCCCTCATGACCTCCTCTTTGACTGAAGCAACAAGTCAAGAGATTATTCAGGTGGCTGCACATGTCCTGGCTTTTGGTACGCTCCAGACAACAACAACAGCTGAATTCCAGTCTCTCACAGCCACTCTACGATCTCTGCGCGCCGACCTTGCGCACGCGGCCAACCTCCCCAACATGAGTTCACAGTGCTCATCCCTGTTTCTCGCCTTACGACAACTGACTACTGCTCTGCTGACAAGCGACTTCCCGCGCCATCTTGACTCAACAGACGGCCTGAACCACCTTGCTCTGAGCATCACACTGCAGTGTCTGTGCAACTTATTCTCCCTAGCGGCTACCAACGATTTCGGTCTGACAAGTCAGCTGGTAGAGCCTCTTGCTGCCTCACTAATGAACAATGAATCCACCCAGCGATGGGTACTCTGTCTGGATGAGGAGTTGTCCCTCTGGCGCATCCGTATAGCTACTTATTCATTCACACTAATGACACACATTGTCCGCCTACCCTGCGCCCCTGTTTCTTCTCCGACATTTCTCTGGCTAACGGCACGCTGTATGAGACGGATTGTTGCTGCTGCCTCTGCGTCGACTGATATTGCACCGGACATGCTCAAGCTGTTGCAGCTCTGGTTCGACCACTGTCTCTCTGCGCTAGCCGGTTTGAGCCTTTCAACTGAGCTACCTGAGTCTGAGCGAGGACTGACTGAATTCTCAGCCTCTTTGGGCACAATTTTGCTTCTGGAGTCACAGCAGGTTTCCCTCGAGAAACTTGATTCACCTCCGATGAAGAAACTGGCAGCCTCCTGTTTGGCAGCCCATCTTCCAGCTGTTGACCCACAAAACTTCACTGTCCTAAATAGGCTTATGCTGCACTGTGTGTCGGTAATGAACAGCTGTACTCACGAAGTCCCGTTTCGCCTTTTGAAGAAGGAGAAGGAGGACAATGAGCCCTTGACCCCCAACTTCCAGGTAGGGTTTCATGGCTGATGAATTACCAACTGCTTACTACTTCGTGTGGGTCACGATCATCTCGGTTATTTGTACTTGCTAATTGTTTCCCTATGCGCACTCACGGTGATGATGATGATCATGATGACGACGACGACGACGACGACGACGACGACGACGATGATGATGGTGGTGGTGGTGGCGGTGATGATGATGGTGGTGGTGGTGGTGGTGGTGGTGGTGGTTGTGGTGATGCAGGTTGTTATTGTTTATTACTTCCTATAGCCTACCAAGGTCCATGACCATCGATGAAATGAGCTGTGTCCGCCCTAGCAGAGGTGTTCAAATCTGCCAAGACGGCTTGACGGTATGGCTGGCCTATTTTATAGGCCTTGTTAATCTCTGATCGCGCGACCGCGATCTGCAGCGCCCTTATGACGGTTGGAGTAAACAGATATCACCAAGAGCAGCCCTCAACCAATCATGACGATTAAGCTAACACTGTCCAAATCTGCGGCGTGTGAATTCTGCAAAACGAGGTCGATTTCCTTGCAGGAATGATTTTCATTATAACTCTAAAAATACGTGCTTCTGACACACACCTACAGTAGGTGGGCTAACTCATGAAATGCCAACCGAGATTCGAAATGCGTTTTCGATTTGAAAAGATTAATTAAGTAGGGTTGTAAAACCAATCATCGTGCAACATAATTCTATAATAATTCAGTTACCTCCGAGTGCCAGCTTTCGAACAAACTTCTTTTCGGCTGCATGCAGAAACCACACTCTGTAAAAAATGACTATTTAAGTAGCATGCACTTTTCTCATTGATTTTCGATGCCTTTAGAAAGTCAATTATA